GGGTTAGGGGGGCCTTGCCAAAATGGAATGAGGCTTTCGCGGCAACAAAGCAATCCCGGGTGTGGTTTTTCCTTAGGGGGGGGGGCGGCGCCGCTTTTCCAGGGCTTTTTTGGACGGTTTTTACATTTTGTGTTTGTTTTCAGTCTAGGGGGCCCGCCCCCCTAAAAGGCGGGGGGGGCGGGCGCGCACCCACAAAGGCCCCCCCATTCACGGAGAGATAAAAAACGTTTGGCCCGGCCGGGCCCCCGGGGGGGGGGAAACATCGGGTTTGAAATTTTGGATGTTTTTCAGGTTGAATTATTAGGGACGGTTCCTACCCGGCCCCCCCCCCCCCCCGCTAGCCCCCGCCCCCTTTGACGTGAGGCGCAAAAGCCGACACCCGTGCGCCGCGCGAGACCAGCTCAAAGCGGACAGGCGCAACTCTCAGTGTTGGCAAGCAACGGAATGGGAGCCGGTAGCTGCCTGTCCGTGAATTGGGTTGGAGCGCGGACACCACGCGCCCAAGCCACCCTCACTCGCCCACCTCCCGGCGCCCTATGCTCCACCAGCAGTATTGCTCGAGCGCGGTGGCGTAGTTGCCCTGGTAAAACATGCCGACGCCCGAGAGCAGCAGGCCAAACCAGATCAACGCGTGCATTGCCACCCTCCAGCTCGTGCGCGCGCGCTGTGCCGCGGTGCCGTACAGGTAGAGCCCCACCACGCCCGGCGCCAGCGCGACAAACCCGCTCACGCTGACGGTGCCGGAAATGGCGTTGACGAACCCGAGGTTGGAGACGTAGCAGGCGCAGACCATGACGCTCGCGACGATGACTCCCGCCGCCAGCCGCACCCGCCCCGCACCCATCGCCTCCACCGGCGCGAGCATTGGCTTGACCATGATGGGGTAGACGCAGACGACCACCGCCGCCTGTGGACGTGTCATGAACGGAGGTCGTGAGCGGGTCGTGAACGGCCGTGCGGAGCTCGGAGGGCGCGAGGGGAGGCGGGTGGCAGCAAAGGAAACTTAGAGTGTGGGTAGAGTGACATCTGAAGAGGGATCGCGCGCCATAGCGGCGCGGGCCGAGTTGCCCCAGAAGCTGTCTCCCAAGTCGCGGAGCACGTTGTCCGAGACGTGCGGCCCGAAGTGTAGGTACGCCACCGTGGCGAAGGCAGCGTACAGCGCGATGAGCGTCCCAAAGCTACCAACGAGCGCGGTCTGGAAGCGGTCTGGGCTACGGTCCTGCGCAGCGAGGGTTTGGGGGGGGGGGGGATGAGAGGGATGTTAGAGTTGAAGAGACGCGAGATGAGAGTGAGCTGGGCAGGCAGACGAGACAGGTGATGGCAAGGCGACATAGGGAGTGACGGATACAGGAGGATTGCGCTCCTGCAGTTCGCGATACATCGGCAGGATGCACATTTGGATAATAACAGAGTACATCATCACGGCGAAGAAGGCGATGGCACCTGTGGCGGAGCAGCCAGCTGGGTTTCACGGAGTGCACGTGTGCCAAAGCCTCGAGTTGGCAGGGATGGATCGGGCGCGGGAGATGCGGCAGCGGCGCTGCTAATCTGTCGGCCGCGCACCAGGCGGCAGCGGCGCGACGCTCGCTATCAGACAGACGCCTTCGGGCGAGACGCCGTCCAAAGCGAGGCGGACGCAGAGCAGGGCGAAGAGGTAAAAATTGACGCCGACGCTGAAGGTTGATGTCGACGAGAGGAACTTCAGGTCCGTCAGGCTCAGCGGGAGCACCACTGCGCTGCCCAGCACGGCCCAAGTGCTTCGGGGGGGGAGAAGCGGGGCGCGTCGGAGGAAGGGCGAGCCGCAAGTGAGGCAAGGGTCGGGTGACGGGAAGCGGGCAGAGCGGCAGCTTGTGGATACGTACTGAGAGCAGTTGCCTGCGCTGGGACAGCATTGTGCCCGCCGGCATCAGCGGCGTCATGCAGTCCTGCACCACGATGATGTAGCCCACCAGGGCCATCCAGATAACGACCCACACCAGGCCGTTGCAGAACCCCTGCGTCACTGGCCCGAGCCAACGGCCGGGCAGTAGCGCTAGCAAGGCGCCCAGGTCGAACCTCTGATGTTCCTGATTTTGCCGTGGGCGTGGTGTGAGTCCACTCGTGTCGGACTGCAGGGCGGCTGCTTTAAGTGCGCGGTGCGTGGCGCTGCTAGACAGGAAGCATCTCTGGAGCGGCCACGCGCCTCGGCCGCCCTCACAAGGATCATGATGGTAAAGCCGTTGAGCACGACAACCAGCACGGTAAGCAGCAGCGCCGTGAGGACTGACGCGCCAGCCATCCCCCACGGCAGCGTCAGGATGCCCGCACCGAGCCCACCAGTCACCAGGTTGACAGCCATCCCACGCACCGACACGCCAGGCGCCTCTGTCAAGGCAGAGCCCTTGAGCAGAGGCGCCTCGAGGGAGGAGATACCCCGAGCGAGAAACGCGTCGGCCGCCGGCGCAATCGGTGACCCCTCGCTGTTGGTGGAGGCCACGCGGGGTATGGAGCACTGCAGCATGCCAGCGTTTCAGCTCAGACGAATCCCCCCTTATCCCCAAAACGCACGTCGCCGGCATGTCCGAAGTTTGGAAAAGAATAACTAGACAATGCAGGCTGCCTGCCTGCTGCCTGTGCTATCTCTCTCACAGCAACCACTCAAGACTCAACCGGCAGCCAGCACCGCCTCCTCGTCCGCGTCGAGGAGCTGCGCCAGCCCGAGCTCGCCCGTGGCCAGCCGGTCGAGCGTGCCGCTGCTGATGGCGCGCGCAAGGCGCGCGAGACGCTCGACGTGGGCCGGCAGCTGCGCCGCACCCGCCGCCGCCCGCCTCCACGCCTCCTCCTCGAGCCTCGCCGAGAGCTCCTCTGGGCTCGAGCCGAGGAAAGCGTCGTGCTCCGCGCCGAGCCGTCCGGCGGCGCGCAGCAGCGCGCTCCGCAGCCCACGCAGTCCGGCGGCGCGGCTGGGCAGCGGCAGATCTCCGCGCAGCGTAGGCGCGGCGGCGGCAGCGGGTGCGGGTGCGGCGGCGGCAGCGAGTGCGGCGGCGGGAGAGATCTCCGCCGAGGGCTGCTGCGAGGCGCGGTCTGCTGAGGAGGAGGGCGGCGATCGCGCGGCCGCCGCCTCAGCGCCGGGCCCTTGCAATACATTGTCTGTGCCAGAGCCCTCCGACGCCGCCGCCGCCGCAGCCTCCTCCTCCTCGTCGCAGAAGAGGAGCGCGTCGTCGCCGCCGTGCCACACGGCGCCGCACTTGTTGCACTGCAGCCGCACGCGGTGCGACGCTTCCTCGTGGTCTTTTGAGCCCCACGTCTCGCCCTTGCGGCTCTCGCGCTGGTCGCCAACCGCCGTCGCCATCGCGTCCATTGCGCCGCACGCGCCGCACGCCACCGCCCGCGTCCGCACCGCCGCGGTGTCGGTCACGATTCGCTGCCTCAGCCGGCGTGCGCTCTCGGCGCGACGCTCCGCCCGCCGGTCGCTCGACGCCCACGAGTCGCCACGCAGTCCGCAGATGGACGAAGGCGGAGCCGTTCGGTTGCAGAGCGCGCGGCGTCGCTCGTGGTTGTGCGGCTTTGGAAGGTTGAAGCAGACGGCGCGCACGCGGTCCGCAAACTGACCCGTCTCGTCCGACTCGAGCGCGCGCGCGAGCCGGGCGGCGACCCAGCGGAGGTAGCGCTCCGGGTACTCATCGATGTCGGGGTTGTCCGTCTTGAGCGCGGCGAGCAGGGCGCGCTCAGGCCGGGTGGCGCTGGGCTGCGACATGTGTTTCCGCGGCCCGAGGAGGAGGGCGCGCCGCTGCTGGCACCGCCGGCGCTCGCGGGAGGGGACTTCGAGTCCAGCGCCTGCGTGTGAAAAAAAGCGTATTAATAACGCACGGGCCCTCAGCGGAGCTGGGAAGAGGACCGCCGCAAGCGGCGTGGCGTGGAGCGGTTGTGCATCCCTCCGGGGGCCCCTCTGCGCCGGGGAGGCGTTGTTGGAGGCTAGGACGCAAGCGTCCGTCGCCCTTTTCAAACTCGGGGCCCACTCCGCTACGCTCCGACCCGAATTTGGAGGGCCTGAAAGTTTAAGGTGTTGCTGCGCAAAAGGGGTCGGACACAGGGCGCAGCTCATGCTAAGAGCTAGAAGAGGAGATAGAGAGAACAACCACCCTGTCCCGTTATTGCGTACACCAACACCACAAAAGCTCTCTCTCTCTCCTGCCCTCACTCAGGGGGGTCACAACTACCAAGTCCCTCGACTAGCTGCCACAGGGCGCAGCTGCCACAGGGCGCAGCTGGAGACGCTCTCCCTCAATCGGCATCCACCCCCACCCGCTCCAGCCCCACTTCTGCTGCCGAGAGAGCTGAATCGAAGCAAGCGAGCCATTGCATCTTGGCGTGCTCCTGGAGCGCGGCTTTCTGCTTGGCGGCCACGAGCACGGCGGAGTCGGCGTCGTAGCGCGCATCGTTCCCGCTCATCGCCCATTCCTCCCACGTGACGTGTGTCGGCCGCGATTCGATGTCGCCACCTTCATCGCCAACGAGGACTCCCTCGACTGCAGGGGGCTCCGGCGCGGGGAGGGACTCCGCCTGCTGCGCTGGCCGACCGCGCCCTCCTCCTCCATGGGCTCGATCCGAATCCGCAGCGTGTCGTCCCCAGCGGCGGTGCTGCGCGGGAGGCGGCCGCGGGCACGCTGGGCTCGATCAGCGGCTTTCCCCTCAGGTAGCGCGAAAGCACGGATTTGGCGGCAATTTTACGAATGTCTTGGCACCAGCTGAAGGCTTGCGTCCCAGATCACGCAGTTCGTGCACGGTATTCGGATTTTGCTATTTGTTCGTGTGGGGGTATATTGCAGATTTGTCAATGGTACCGCGTCTGCGACGCGGGCGCCTTGCGAGCAGAGCCCTTAGGACACCCTTTATATCTTGCGCGGTCACAAAGAGGCTGGCTCAAAAAAAAGGGGGAACCCGTCCCCATCCAGGTTGTTGGTTGCTGCCCAGGTCCCGCACTATGTAGTACAATGCCCCGTTCTCTATGGCCTTTCCTTTTGTCGGCTTGATTGAGCTTCGTGCGAGCCGCGCTCAGGTCGGCGAGGTCGGCGTAACAAGAGTTTTATGAAAAAAACGAGGGACTGGCACTAACACAGGTACACCACGGGAGCCGCCTAAGCGACTCCTGCGAGGGCGGCGAGGCATTTAGCTCCGTGCACTCGCCCGCCCTCGCCGCAGGCAAGCTCATTCACAATCTGCTCTCTCTGCGATGGCTGTGTGAAGTCTGAAGAACGACCGAGATACGCTGCTTCTGCAGCCCAGCCCATTCTTGGTGGAGTGTCGTGCGTAAAAAGAAATCGCCTGCCTGTTGTAGCCTGGCGTTTGCCGTTTGTGTCCCGTTCTTGCTGCTAGGTCATTTTAAAAATATGGGTATGTTCGTAAGAACCACATTACAGCGTCTTTCACAGGTCATGATGCCTGGCTCGCCCGAGTGACGGGCAGACCTCGGCTGCTCGCACAACGGATCAAGTCGTGTCCGGAGGGCATCTTTACACCGTCGCCGCCTCCGTCGCTCCCATCTGGGCTCGGCTGTCGGCTGCCACATTCCTAGCGGCTCCGTGCACCTTGGTGCCCGCCGTCGTGACTCCTTCTTCGCGGTGCTGCTGCGCGTCGGACGGATCACGCGGGTTGTAACATTTTGGGCGTGCGACATGCACGGACCCGAACAACATACGCAGGAGCAAAGCTCAATGGTCGTCTCCAAAAAGGCTTTACGTATTACGAGCGTCGAGCCCACTTCTTCAGACTTGCGTGATGAGCACGAGATGATGCTTCCATCATGTTGGGAGCGTCCTTTCGCAGCCGATGCCTCTGTTCGACGCCGCAGTACTGCCAGGCCTTCGCGTGGGCAGGGATGCCCGTGCAGTTGCGGACCTCAATCAAGGGGAGTTCCTCAATAGAGTAGTTAGAGCGGAACAAAACGGGCAGACGCCGAGGCGCACGTCGGCCGCGCCGTGAGCCTCGACGAGCTGTCTGACCACCTCCGCCCCTAGCTTCTTGAAGGGCATCGAGGACGTCGATGATGCGAGCGTCGCTCGACACTCGATACGGTTCGGGTGCAAGGGCGTGTGCACGTAGAGTGTCGGGCACACCGCTGCACAAGACATGGCTGCCATTGAGGGTGGCGGTGCCAAAGTCCACGAGCTTGAGCTGTCTGCCTTGCACCAACAATTCGAGTTTGAATGGTGCCGCCGCCAAGTTGTTCTTCCAGATGTCATTATGCTGAAGCCACGGGCTGCGAGGCCGGAGAGCATTTGCTTGATCTGCTGGTGGTAGTTGGCAGGCATGCGAGTGTGATCAAGCGGCTACCCCGCATTCCGAAGCAGAATCAAGTGCTGGTTGGCGCAGAGGCTCGCCTTGGATCATCCGCAGTGCGCAGCGGATCTCGCGCCGGCCCATGACACTGTCCATATTCACCTTGAGCACCACCGACGCACCCAGATACTAGAGAGAGCTCTGGCCCGTCACACCAAAGGCGGCGCGCCGGAGTGAGACAGTCTCGCCCTCAACTCGAACTGTCACCTCGTGGCGATCGTCAAAGGAAGGCAAGCGTCCGTGCACCCCGGCGGCGGATCAGGGCTTTCGGGCAATGCCCTCGTTGAAGAGCAGTCCATTACCAGAGGCGCTGCGATTGATTGCATGGCCACGGGACTGGGGATTTCTCACCCCTCTGTGCGTCAGAGGCTGACGGTGCCAGGACGGTGCCCACGTACCTTGCTCGCTTGCCCAAGGCGGACAGGACCGTGCCCGGGCCTGACCGAGCCGGTCACACCCATATACTGGGTGGTCGGGAAATCGGTGACGGTGTGCAACACGCGCTGCTGAAAAAGTTTTCAGTTTTCGGTCCGGTCTGCTACCCCTCTCCTTAAAATCCCTGTGTGGTGGCGGCGTGCCGTCCTCCCATCCCTCCCTTGGATTGTCTGTGATCTTTCTTTCTTTCTGATGTTTTCTTCTCGCTCCAAGGCCCTGGGCGTGCGGTTGCCGACTACAACCCATTTTTGTTGACGACGGAACGCGCGGCTGTGCACCTTCGAGGGCTACACAGTTTAGGTCAGGCAGAGAAGTATTATGGGCCTCGGCGTGCCGATTTACGCTGCGGCGCTCGCCAGGTCGTACGGCAAGGGCGAGCACGCCTCCGAACTCACCAACGACGCTCCAGCGAGCCCGGCCGCTGTGCGCTCTACTAGCGCGCTGACACCCCACTCCACGAAGCGCATCCAGAGGAGAGTCTTTGTGTACAACCGTGTGGGCAAGACGGGAAGTTCGTCAATGCTCAGCCTGCTGACGTCACTCTGCCTATGCCGGGAATTCACGCTGCCAGGCGACTGGCATTACTGGGCTTTTGACAGCGGAGATGCGTCATCAGATCAGACCACGTTGCGGCAGCACCATCTCCACCAGGCTGTGCGCTCGCTCGCTGCGACAAGGACGGAAAAGCCTTGCAGGGTGCTCTTCGCTCACTTCCAGTGGACGCCACTCCCTCTCGCTTCAGGCGCGGCGTACATCAACTGGCTCCGCAATCCGGTCGCTAGATGGGAGTCCATTCATGGGTTCTACGTACAGAACAGGTGGGGCGTCACCAGGCCAGACTACGGGCGCTGGACAGCCCGAAACGCGAGTGCCTGCCTGCTGGAACCGCGCTCGGTGCCGAACGCCAGTCGCGCTTGTGTCGCCGCCCGCGATGCAAAACAGGCCGACTACTTTTTCTCGAAGCGGGAGCAGCTCGAGTGTCCGGTGCAGGAAATGCTTCCGCAGTATGCCTTCCTGGGCGTCGTTGAGAAATCAGCGGCACTACTCCCGAAGATGCTTGCGGTGCTCGTTGCGAATGCAAGCAACGCATCGTCAAGACTTGACTTTGGATCGAGTGCCCTCAGGCTTTCGCACCGCAGACGAACACCGGCTGCGTACAAAGAGCATCTCTCTCCCATGGCTGAGGCGGTTCTGAAGCACGAACTTGCCTGCGATAAGCAGTTGTGGGATGCTGTCGCTGAGAGTTATTAGGTCCACTCTTGGGGAGTCCGTTAGATCTCACAAAATGACATCAGTAACACCAGCCTCCGGCGGGGCCCCCCGCTACCATCCAAACCCGAGTACAAAGCGCGCCTCCCCTGCGCGCCTCTCCGAGGCGCTGCGCAGATGGTCTACGAATCATAGAGGCTCAAGTGACAAGTCCACACACACACACGCGGGGGATCTGCCATGCACAAAGCATTACTCTCACGACACACGGGGATCGGGTGGAGCGGCGGCGGCGGCGGCAGCGGCACGCGCGGGCGGACGGATTCGGACGGGGCGGAGCAGCGACCGCCTGGGCGGCCGCTGCTCTGTCTGCCAGAGCGCGCCGTCTGTGCGCAGCTCGAGCGCGGTCAGGTGCACAGGGAGGCGTGGCGGCGCGGGGAAACGCGGCGGCGGTGGCGAGCAGGCGAGCGGCCCGCGCGCGGCGAGGCGGACCACGACTGAAAAGTCTTAATGGACCTGTCCTAGACTCTGTGGCTGAAGTAGCGTGTGCGTCGAAGCCACAAGAGGGCTGGCGTCGTCCGGAGTTCCTTGAGAGGGGGGTTGGCGTATTTTAGTTTCCTTGAACGGTTGATGAGACTGTGAAACGATCGCCGCAAGGGGCGTGAACGCACAAGTGCGTAATGACCGCAAGTGGTCGTGAACACCCCAAGGGGTGTGAAAGTAAATACTCCACTTATTCACAGATACCATACCAGCAAAGTACCCGAATCCAACTCCACGTGCCCAAGCGCACACCGGCCGGAGCGCCACCGGGGGGTGCCGCCCTCCCGTTCATGAGCCCAACAACACGAACGCTATCCATCCTCACCGGCCCCCATCCCCGTGGTCGGCCTCGCTCGCCGCGCCAAGCCGCGGCCCGGTCGTCCGCCCGGCGGCCAAGCCCAAGGGCGGGGAGGGGGCCACCCGCGCTCGCGCAGTCTGGGTCGTCCATCTCGGCATCCAGCCGCTCGCAGGCGGCGAGGCAGCGAAGCCACCGCTCGTGCGACGCAATCTGATTTCACAGCCTTGTTATGAGAAGAAAATACGTCCTATGGCGCTATTCACACCTGTTATTGAGAAGAAAATACGTCACAAAGAGCGGAGGGGTGGCGGGAGCCGAGCCCGCCCTCGCCGCTCTCGACCTCCGCAGTGGCGCAACAACATCGCTCTCCGCCCGCTAGTGATCAGCAAAATCGCCATTGAGGTGTGGACGGAGCACTGGCGGAAGTGGCAGATGGCTGAGACGCTCGAGGACCGGCTATCGGCGCGCCTGACAGCACCCGCAGCCGCGCAGGTGGACGTAGTGGTTGGCACCTCCGCTGACTCGGACCGCGCCGCCGCGATCGTCTCGCTGATCAATGAGGCGTACGGGTATGGCCGCGAGAGCAAGGGCGGCGTCCTCCGCCGCCTCGCTGCGGGCGACGCCGGCTCTGGAGCAAACCGGGTGCTGCACCTGGCGCTCGCCCAGTGTGACGGAGGAACGGAGGTGGGATGCTGCCGGTCTTGGCTGCGGTGTGAGGTGCTCGGCTGGAGCCGCGGTGTCTGCCAGCTTGCAGGTGGTCGGCTGCTGCTCCTCGACACTCTGCACTGGCTGGACCCCGTGGGGGTGCGGCCACTGGGGGCTGATGGCGGTGAGGCAAGACAGAACCGGAACCCGAACCCGAACCGGTGGGCTGGTGGGCTCCTCTTCATTCCACGCCCCGCTCTGAGCAGGTGCGGCCCGACATGCAGGGGCGGGGAATTGCCTCGGCGCTCGCGGCTGCGGCGGAGGCTTGGCTGGCCGCGTCTGCTTGTCCACGGCTGGAGAGCCCCACGTCCATGACCTGCCGAGGACACGTGCCACAGGCGCGGTGCAGCCGTGGCGGGAGGAGGCTCTAGGACTTGTGCGCGGACATGTCCCCGACGCATCCCATAGGCGCGGCTGGCCGCGGCTGGCTGCCACAGCGTGCAGATTGAGTACGAGTACCTCGGCGACGACCGCGCTCGGAGATGCGGACCGTGTGAGGCGAAGAGCTGTGAAGAGAGACTCGGTGCGTCTGTGAGCAGGGGACGCGTACTCGGATCGACTCTTCCTCTGGTACGAGTCGTCCGCCGGCTTCCACTGCTCCCAAGGAAGCCCCCCCCCCCCTCCCCCTCCCCCTCTCCCCTCTTCTGCCTCCACCCCTCGCGCCATCGGCCCTGCCCCTGCCAAATCCGCCTGCCCGCGCCCACCCCCTCGCCCTCGCAGGCAAGCCGCGCGCCGGCTGCCACCAGTTCCGGCGCTGCAGGAAGCGACTCGAGCCGGCCCCGGGCGAGAAGGGCAGTGCCGCTGCTTCTCTGCCGCGAGTCCTGCCGTTGTGCCAATTGATGTGAAACTAGTAGGAGCGCATGTCCGTGGGAAACGTTGAGTGAAGCTTGCACCGCCCTTCCCGATGCACCATCGTACAGCACACGGTACCGCCGGGGTATGTACCATTATTCGTGTATACAGATCGTGTAGATATTTTCTTTATTCTCTTTGGCGTTTTGGGATGCGCAGCAAAACTGGCAGTTTAACATTAATAGTATGTCTTGGAGTGAAAAGTTTTTCGATGAGGTGGGGGTCCGTGGTGAGCCGATTCCCAGATTCTCCAGATTCCCCCTCGAAAACCGTGCGTTTTAATTCATTGCGGCCGCGGGTTTGCTCGGATTACTTTTCACTCGAAGACATACTAGTTTTTTGGCGTGTTCCGGTGCCTACAAAAAATATCCGAGATCATATGGAGCTGACCACAGGGTTTGCGGCGATCACTGTCCTACCAGCGGACACAGTGGGCCGCGGACACCCGTGAACGACCTTAACTCATAACTGGGCGCAGCACTTGGAGCACTTGGAGCACTTGGAGTGCAGTCGGTAACCTCACATCCAGGGCCGGTGAGCTGAGAAGCGCATCCAGCGGGCCGGATGATCGGTATCGGGCTACGGGCTAGAGAGCCCTGACCCCTAGCGGTAGGGGGGGGCGCGCATTCGCAGGGCAAGGGCCTTAAAGTAAACACGGGTCTCCGAGGGTTAGTTCTGCGCTTTGGGTGTCCCCTAGCGGCGGAACGCCCCCTCTACTCGGAGCTAGACATGTTTTCTTTCTTTTTCTACTCGGAGCCAGTGATACGAGAATACGCGCATGTTACGAGAATACACACTGCCCCCACGGAGTACCTGTACTACTCGACGATAATACAAGAATACGCAGCTTGGAAGTTGCAGACGCCTATAAAGAAAAACAGCGAGCTAAATTTCGGCGGCTAAAAAGCAAAGGACGGGCGCTTTTTTGATCGGCAAAGGAAAGTTGGAGTAACGGCGACGGCGTTCGCAATGAAGTCGCCTGTCGAGCAGCTTCCGCGGCGCGCCTGCGCCGCGGGGTTGACCGACAGCCGCGCCTCTCGCGCCTCCCGCGCCACGCGCGGCGACGCGCACCCTGCGCGCCAGTCGGCGCACTGGCAGTACTGCACCAGCCAGCACGGCGTGGAGCAATGCATCCAGGGCATTGTGCTGGGCGCCAACCAGCATGCCTCAGGACAGAGCAAGGGAGCATGCTGCGCACCCTGGCGCAGCGCCAGCTCGCCTCCAACCAGGCATTCTCACCACTGCACAGCCGCCCACGAGCGCCCGCAGCTGCACTGCTCAACGCTGAAGCTCAGGAGCCTCCCCTTGTTGTCACAGCTTTGTGCAGTGCAGCGTGCGAGCAGCGCAGCGCCAGGCAGACCCGTGGCACGCCCGGGCGGCTGTGGGACGGAGGCCCGCCGAGCGAGTGCGAGCCGCATCGGCGGCCATGTCTCCCGCCGCCGCGAGCGAGCGGCGCAAAGAGGCAGCGTCGCGCATGCTTTTCCGTAACGGTCTCGCGGCGCAGGTTTTTTGGCTTCGGTTTCGTCGCCAAGCATAGGTTTCATTTGCATAGTCGGCCGTCCTAGGACGTACGTCATTTCGAGGCGCGATTTCGGTTCTCGCGTGTATCTCGCTGCGCAATGGGAGTTAGCGCGCTCGCTCGCAGAGCGGCGCCTGCTAGCCAAGCGCGAATGCCTGGGTCGCTGAGCTCGCGCCGGTGGCCAACTGCGCCTCCGTGGCGACGCGCTCCGGCCACGAGCGAGGCATGAGTTGCATGTTGCATCTTGCAAGTTGCGTCTTGTGCGGGAATGCTCCTCTCCAAGCGCATCTGAAGATGCACAAAGTCTTGCTGCAACGGTGCAAGGCAAGGGGAAAAGACATTCCCAACCTTTGGCTCTTCTACATTCGATATCGGTTTCCCGAGTGGATTTCGCGCTGCCCTGCTTTGTGCAGCTAGAGTGTAGAGAAACGCGAGACTCGAAACGTCACTGCAAAAGTATCGCGTGTACACAGATGTAATAAGGGGGGAGGGGGGGGGGGGGGGTTGCTTTTCAAACCGTTTGAGTACACACAGCAGTCCGCCGGTGCTCACACCTCGTTCGAAGCAAGCGTGAACACTCATGTCGGTGCCCACATGACGGGCTGTGGCCTTTTGCCCTCGAAAAAAAGAGCACATCGACCTGGAGACGCAGTCTCTAAGACCTGCAGTACTTGTTGGGACCTCCAATAGGTTTTGACGTGCGAGAAGTCGCACAGGACACGTCCTCCCGTCGCAGCGCGCGTGCCATATCTTCACCCATGCGCGGTTTGTAGCACACGACCAGTCGCTGCGTGTGCTCACCGTCCAGCCAATGCTTGACACTTCGAAATTGCACACCGTCCTCCCTCTTGCGAAAGATGTGAAGCGCGATGCTGTCGTGAAAAAAAACAAACAGCGCGGCTGGGCCAGCTGGGCTGGGCGACATCCGCCTTTTGCTCCACCTTTGCAGCGACAGCCAGCGGCTGGACCGGCGCACCGGCGGCCGGGAGCCACCCCAGCTCATGGAGACGCTGCTCGTGGAGACGCGGGCCTCCTCCTCCTCCTCCCGCCGGCGCACGGCGCTCGTCCTCGCCTGTGCGCTGTGCGGCCTTATCCTGGGCTGCGTCCCTGCGGCGCTCCGCCGCCGCGACGCGCCCAGGCTGCAGGCGTGGGAGTTCGCCGAGCTGCCGCTCGACGGCCGCTGGGACGCGATCACCGACCTCTGGGAGCGGCCCCTCTGCGGCAACTTTTGCGGCTCGATGTGGCGAGCAGCGCTCGCGGAGAGACGCTCGCGAGACACCGCCTCCACGCACGCCTTCGCCGCGCCGCCTCGCGCGCCCACACGCGTCGCCCACACGCGTCGGGCCACTGCAGACCCACGGCGGCCCGCCACAGGTGCAACGGCGGCTTCCTGAGCGAGTGGGACGCGGACAGCGAGCACTGCGGCCCCGAGTACGGCGACGTGAGCCGGTCGGCGGACGGGCGGCCGTCGTGCATGGACGCGTGCTGCCGCGAGCACGACATCTGCTGCGCGCCGGGTGGCACCGACCTCGGCGCCACGCGCGGCTGCAACGCCGGCCTCGCACGCTGTCTCGAGCGGTGCGGCGAGGGCGACGGGCGGGACGACGCGTGCGAGGGCCTGATCTCGCTCGGCATGTCGGCGATGCACGGCACGGAGCTCTGCTGCGGCCGCCCCTGCCCCGCCGCCGTCTACACTGCGCGGGCGAGCGCCGCCCTCACGCCCGTCCTCGCGCCGTACCTCAACTACACGCTCGGCACGGCGAAGCACGTGACGAGCCACCTGGAGGCGGGCTCGAGATCTGGGGAGATTCGGGGAGATATGACGAGCCACCTGGAGGCGGGCTCGAGATTCGAGGAGATATGGGGAGACATGGGGAGACATGGGGAGATATGACAAGGAGGTCTCGAGAGATGGGGAGATATGACGAGCCACCTGGAGAAGGGCTCGAGATCTGGAGAGATCTGGAGAGATCTGGAGAGATCTGGGGAGGTCTGGGGAGATCTGGCGAGACATGACATCTCGAGGAGGGCTCGAGCGGGCTCCGAGGGGGGCCCTGCGCCGCCTCCGACTCGCCCTCACCCGCACCCGCACCCTCACACCCGCAGGAGGGCTCCGAGAGGGTTCTGAGCCGCTTCCGAGCGGGCTCGCGGACTGTCCACTCCGCGGCCCGCGGCGCGGCCGAGAGCGTCACCGCCTTTTGCAACGACACCCTCGCCACCGCGCGGCGGAGCGTCGCGACGGCCGTCGCTTGGCCGCGCTGGCCGCGCTGGCCGTGGAGGGCGATTTGGGGCGCGCATGATGGCCACCGTTCGCCGGCGGCGGAGGCTGCGGCGGAGGAGGCTGCTGCCGAGAGGGCTGGCGGCGAGGCTGCAGCTGCGGCCGCGGCGCCGGCCGGTGTGAGTAGTGACCGGCGCCGCGGCGGCTGGTTCAGCCTCATGCACACGCACATGTTCGCTAGGTGGGGTCGGAGCCGTACATAGAGTCGTAGGTAGGACACGAGGTTAGAGGTTGCGCATCATAGGTCATACAGTAGCTTAGACAGGTCTCGTGCGGAAAAGCCCCGCGTGGTCGGGTGTGCGTGTCGCGGGTTAGCCTTGTGATACCGTTTTCGTGAGACTCTACAGACTACACAGTAACAACACAGCCTACACACCGCTTGTGCTTGTGCGCGAAAATGGCACAGTAACCGGGTATTCTATTTCTAATGGGACATGCGAATGCCACGCTCGCTGCACCAGGCGGCCATGCCGACCCTCCGACGGCCCACACCGACGCTTCAGATGCGCTTCATCAGCGTCGCGCCGGCGGCGCTCAATGGCGTCGATGAACGGCTGGGTAGCCCTTGGCCTGCATGTCGCCGACGCAGAGCTAAGGAAGGCGTAAAATATTGAATATATTGCTCCAATAGTTAGAGATGCGATCAATATCAGTGGCGGTAGCGAGGAGAGCGTGGTGCCATCGAAAGTCTGCACGCCTGCGGCGTCTGCCGATGGCGCGATGAGCGAGAGCACCGCCTCCGACAGCGCGCCCATGATGGCCGCCTTGAACTTGTGCGCGCCGTCGGTGAGCGAGAGCACGCCGAAGCCGTCGCCGCCCGGGTACTGCTCGGCGAGCATGTTGTAAAAGATGTCGGTGTACGAGTTCAGCTTGGTCGCGAGGAGGTCGACGCCCTGCTCGTTGGCGAGCCGGCCGAGCAGCGTGGGCAGCGGCGTGCGCTGGTCGGGGCACAGTCCGGCGGGGAAATCGTCTCCGCCGCGCCCCTGCCCACTGTAGCCGTGGGCCGGAGCGTCGGCGATGAAGACGGCCACCCTCACGTCGCCCCGCCACTCGAGCCGCAGCGCGCTCTCGATCGCGATGATCACGTCCTCCGGCCCGTCGCCGCCGCCGTTTGCCCCCTCTCTCCCGATGGCCGCGGTGACCTCGTCGACTCGGCTGAGCGGCACGAACTCGTGCACGACCACGCGCGGCGCGTGCGGCGAGTTGCGCTCTCCCCAGTCGCGGTAGCCAACAAAGGAGACGCGCACCTCGCCGACGGCGAGGTCGGCCTTGAGCCCGCGGATCACGTTGCTCACGTGCGTCTTGCACTGGTCGATCCAGCGTCCCATCGAGCCCGTCAGGTCCAGGATGAAGCAGACGTCCACAATTTCCGCGCCGCGGCTCGGCATCGGCCGGAGGTTGGCGCGCGGCTTGAAGCGACCCACCGCCGCGTCGGCCGCCTCGCGCAGCCGGTGGACGAGCAGCAGCCGCATCCCGTGCGCCTTGAGCGACGCGGTCGCGCCGGCAAGCTCGGCGGGGTCGGAGGCAGGCGTGAAGCCGGAGCAGACGACGAGGACGTCGCCCGCGCCGCCGTCGACCGCTTCGAGCATGCGCGTGCCGCCCGCCAGCAGCCGCGCCGCGCCGCTGCCGCCGCCGCCGCCGTGGCGAAACGGCTCCGCCGCGCGAGCGACGAACGCCTCGAAGGACGGCGTCAGCACGGGCACGGGCGCGGGCGCGGGCGCGGGCGCGGGCGCGGGCGCAGGCGCCGACGCGCCCGGGGCGCCCGGCTCAGCCGCCGCCGCCGCCTCGGCCTCGGCCTGAGCGATGGCGGCGTCCTCCTCGGGAGAGGTGACGGCGATGAGCTCGCCGTCAACGGCCACGTGCCGCAGCTTCTGCGAGCAGGCCGCCACAAAGGCGGCGAGGAGGAGCGCAGGCGGCTGCGAGGGCGGCACGCCCCGCCCCTCGGCTGTCAGCACGACGGGCAGCGTCGGCAGCGCGCCGCCCTCGCTCAGCGACGCCATCGCGTCGGGCGTGCGCCCCGCCGCGTCGCCGCCCGACGCGCCGGCCTCGGCGGCCGCCTCGAGCTGCTCGAGCATCGAGGCGGCCTTGGCCTTGAGCTGCTCGCGCGCCGCCTTGAGCGCGGCGATGGCCTTGGCGATGCGGCGCGGCAGCAGCTCCAGCTCGTCGTCGCCGCCCTCCGCCGCCGCCTGCACAATGTCGGTGATGTCGGGCACCGCCTTGTCCGACGCGGCCATCGCCTTCTTCCACCGCGCCGCCGTCTCCGGGTCCTTGAGCAGCGCCTTGCGGCACTTGGCCAGCGCGCCCTTGGGCGCCTTCTTGAAGTCGATCGCGTCGAGCCGCTTCGCGGCCAGCAGCGGCTCGAGCAGGTGGCCAGCTTCCGCCAGCCGCATGTTCAGCCCGGCGCGCAGCTTGCGGTACTTGGCGCGGAGCGCGTCCTTGCCCAGCTCGCCGTTACCCTCGCGCTTCCGCTTGCCCGTCGCGCCGCCTTCGCCCTCGGCCGCCGCGCTGCTTTCGCCCTCGGCCGCCGCGCTGGCTTCGCCCTCGGCCGCCGCGCTGCTTTCGCCCTCGGCCGCCGCGCTGGCTTCGCCCTCGGCCGCCGCGCTTCATTCGGTGAATTTTCTCCTTGACGTTCCTCTGGCCCGCCGCGCTCTCCCTGTCGTAGCGGCCGTGACTCATCTGCTTCGGGCAGCATCGGTGTTCTTTGAGCTCTTTCTGAGCCGATGGTGCTTCCACTGATTGCACCGCGCCTCGCTGTGCCTTCGTGGAGCCGGGTGGACGCGGGGCCTTCCGAGGGACGCGTCCAAAGTGACCCATCCTGCAGCACATGACGACCGCCCGCTTGTGCAAGCGTGATCACGCGCTGCTGCACTGGCTGCTGCTGCTGCTGCACTGGCTGCTGCTGCACCTGCGCCGGCGCACGCATAAACCCCGCACTTGTGTAGGCGGACAATGATGATGCCGCGCGGGCGGAGTGGCGGAACGAGGACGCTGCCGTCAGACGAGGGATTGCTATCATACGCAAGCACGAGCCGTCGGTGACGCGACGGCGTGCACATCACCGTTGGCCAGCTGCTAAGCGCGAAACCCTGCCGGATCCCCTGCCCGTGTCGGATGCGTCCAAACGAGTAGACACACACCGGCGGGCGCTTTCGAGGCGAGCATTTTTTCTAACCACATGGACATGGACATGGACATGGACATGGACATGGACATGGACATGGACATGGACATGGACCTATTCTGCGGCACGATAGCTATTTGGGCTGCAACATACATGTGCCTAGGTGCCTACACTCGACTGCAACGGCGCGCGCAGAAGAACATTTTGGGGCTTCTGGCCGGTGTGGACGCCGTTGTTTCGCAGCTCGGGGGGGGCGTGGCGGAAATGCGTGGCGCCTCGAAAATGTTCGTAAGAGCTACACATCGAAAATTATTAAATTTCGGACGTACGTAGACTTGCCCAGACGAGGCACAGAGCAACCCCGTCCAATCGGCTTCGCAAGTCGACCCGCCAACCAATCCATGCATATGACCTCCGTCACCGCCGCCGCCGCGCCAGCTGCCACCGGCGCCGAGCTGGTCGTGCCACCGCTGCCGCCCAGGCTGCCCAACGACGCGAGCCAGGAGGAGAAGGCGGCGCGCGAAGCCATCATGAAGGAGCGCCGACGCATCCAGAAGGCGATCAACGAGCAGAAGAGGGGCAAGCGGGATCGCAGCGAGCGGGAGCAGCTGAGTGGTGCGCAACATCGCAAGCAGGCTGAAGCGGAGGCGAAGCGAGCCGACGCCAACCGCCGCCGCCAGTCCGTCTCCCAGCACCGCCGCGCAGCTCGAGAGAAGAAGCGGCCGAGGCTCGGCGAGAGCTTCGGCTCGATTCGACAACGCGAGGAGCAGCGACTGCTGGGCAACTCGTTCGTCTTCGAGGACCAGCGCGTGCGCGTGTGCGAGGGCGTCGCGTGTGGGCCCTCGTGCAAGACGGTGCGGCTAGCGGCGTGGTGCCCATCCATGACGCCGCGAGTTTCTGGGGCCCAGAGTGGGCGTCGTGCTTGGCCGTGCCCGTGAAGGCTGGGCAGTGCGGCACTGTGCTGCGGCGCGCCGAGCTGTGCGTGCAGGAGAAGGGCGGCAGCGTGAGCAGCTTGAAGCTGAGCAGCGCTGGCTTTGCGCAAATCGAGGGGCCGCAGCACTTCCACACGGTGCAGCTCGACGACGTCAGCACGCCGGTGATGCTCTCACCCTACCACGTCCAGCCCTGGCCGGCCATCGGACAGGAGGTCGGCTGGATGCCGTCCGAGCCGCAGGACATCGCCACCGTCAAGTACTTTCACAACACGCAGGACCCGGACTTCGACGTGGACGATCCCGAGGACAACAGCTATTACGTGCTCTCGCGGCCGTTCTACGCCTTGCCCGCCCACGTAGAGGTTGTGGCGCCGGTGGGCGGGCGCGTGCGCGTGGGCTCTTGGGTGAGGCTGCGCGAGCCCCACCCCGAGGCTGACCCTGACGACGGCGCGTGGGGCTTCCGCGAGCCGCCGCCCGCCGTCGCCGCCGAGATGCTCTCTAGCGTGGGCCGGACCGAGCTGACCCCGGCGGACGTGGAGCGGCTCATGTCCACGCCGCAGATGGCTGTCGCGAGCGCGCATGTGCTCGTCGTCAAGTCCATCTGCGAGGACTGCGGGCAGTGTCTCGAGCTCGAGGACACCTTCTACGCATCTCACCGCGATCTCACGCCGCTCATCCCTGGCTGGGAGCAGAGAGAGCCATGTCGCTTCCACTGCACCTACGACCACCAGTACTTGTGCGATCACATGTTCGATCTAACACACGTAGGAGAGTGCGTCTGGGCCTGCAAGGAGTGCGACCCTGAGTAAAGCGGGAAACTTAAATTTCCTCCATTGTACCCATGCGGAGCCTTTTATTTTGTGCGGCGGACTTGTGTATCTGATACTGACGAACGCCGGGAACGCGACGAAGCGGTCCGTGCTATCATCGCGTCGCGTGGTCGCGTGATCGACAAATCGATGGTTGCACTTCTCGTGGCGCTCGTCGCCTCTTCCTCACCAACAAGCGTCTGGTTCGACTGCGCTGCCGACGAGAAGATCGTCGCTCCGAATATCACATTCAGCAACGTGAGCTCCTCGCCGGATCCGGTGGTGCACGGCGCGCAGCAGGTCATACGAAAGGTCGTGCATTACAATGGCACGGACACGCTCACCAATGTGACGGCGACGCTCTCGCAGTATTGGAAGGTCCTCGGCAAATGGGTGCGCTTCCTCAAGATCGACACCGACGTTTGCAAGGAGCACGCTGGCGCGTGCCCTTTTGCACCTGGCGATGCGCACGCCCTCACCACGCACCACCCGCCGCTCCACTGGGGTACGCCCTACGGCTGGTATCGCTCCAAGCAGGTCTTCACAAACACGCTGACGGGCGAGAGGCTCGGCTGCTTAGACGAGCGCTTCGAGTACTGCAAAGACAGCAACTCATGCAAGAAGGACAGCAGCGCTTGACAGCAGCAGCAGCCTCGTGCTGGCGTCCAGCGCATATCTTGCGCCACCCCACGGCCGTAACCGAACTTGTAACATTTTGCATTCCAGGATGGCGCGACGTATCCTGGGTTGCGTGGACATCTTGGAATGTGCGGTGCATCTTGAAATATGGGAAAATCAACTCAGCGTTCTTAGAGATACAAAATGCAACCTGAATTGACTTTTTGCAACTCAAGATGCCCTCTGCATCTCAAATTGCGGGTTCCGCCCCTGACGCGTTCGCGTAATATATGACTCGCAAGACCACGCGCAACGACCGCGCGGCGCGCGCCCCCCGCGCGGAAGGGCGAACTCCCCGTCTCCCTAACCGCCCCGCGCGGGCACTCACCTTCTCCAGTTCCACAGAGAGTGCGTGAGAGCCTGAGAGCTCCCCAGTCCCCACAAGACCCTCGATTCAGTTTCTTGTCGGTAAACCGCGCAAAACTCTCTCTCTCTCTCGCAACTCTCTCTCTCTCACCGGGCGAATGACCGCACCTCCAAACTGTCAACACCCGCTCACAACCCGAGAACCCCCAAGGCAGCCGTCGGCACCGCGCCGCGCTCCGCCCTGGCGTGGGCGACCAGCTTTTGCTTGACGTCCGGGTGCGAGGCGAGGGCAGCCTCGAGCTGCGCCGGCGGCATCGCGTAGAAGAGCTCGCGCGAGAGTGGCATCGCCATCGAGCAGCAGCGCACGTAGCCCTCCCACAGCTTGGTCGCCCACACCTCACGCTCGAGAAGCGTGCGCAGCAGGCCCATCACCGCCGTGGCGGCGTCGGGCCAGTTGACCATCGTCTGGATGATGGTGCGCATCGTGAGCAGCGGCAAGGGGTCCAGCTGGACCACCTCTTCCAGGGCGGCGGTGAGCTCGTCACGCGTGAAGACCTCGCGCTCGTTGATGCACGCCTACGTGGCGGGGGAGCGGGAGGGGGCATATTTAGTCTCGCCGCAATTAGTCGAGGCCGGAGAGGCGGAGGTGCAAAGGGAAGGGCGGGGGCGGGGGTGGGAGGGGCGGGAGGGGCGGGGCGGGGGGGGGTTCGAAGGGCGGAAGGGCGGAAGGGCGGAGGGTAGGGGGAGGGTTGCCAGCCTGAACGGCGTCTATGAGCGCCTTGAGCGGCACGCCCCTCTCGCCGTCCTCGGGCTTGAGCAAGTGTAGCTGCAGCAGCAGCGCGCGCGGCGCGAGCGGCGGAGGCTCGGCGTGCGCCAGCGCCGCGAGCGCCTCGGTGAGGTCGCCCTTGTCGAGCCGCAACAGCGCGGGCAGCACCGCGACCGACTGCGACTCGTCCAGAAAGGGGAGCAGCGGCACGGCGTACGCGCCACCGTGCGGCCCCAGACGCGAAACCTACAGGACGGCTCCAGGAAGGCTCCGAGAAGGTTCCTAGAAGGTTCCTAGCCGTGCCCCCGACGCGAAACCTACAGGACGGCTCCGAGAAGGCTCCGGAAGCTGGCTCCTAGACGCGCCGCCGCGCGAGCCCGCCGCGCCACCAGTCCCAGCACGCCGGCCGTCAGCGCGGCGGGCACGGTGCCGCCCACGGCGGTGGCGCGATCGGCGAGCACCTGTGGAAATGTCCTCGACATGGCCTGGACGTGTCATGCACATGTCCTGCGGAGTGGCCCTCGGCGATGGCGCGCACGTGTAGCGCGAGCAGCGGAAGCGGTGAGGCGGCGGAGAGCGGCGGCGATGCGTCGGGCTCGCCTCTCAGTTGCGCGAGCAGGACCTCCGTGACCGCCTCCATCGGCAAGTGCAGCAGCAGCCCCGGCAGCAGCTCCTGCACCGTCGCTTGCGCGGCGGCCGACGCGCCATCAAAGCCGGCAAGCAGCGCGGCCAGCATGCTTGGCGAGCGGTTGCAGAGCGCCAGGTAGAGCGGCAGCCTGCGCGCCGCCTCCTCCTCCTCCTCCGCCGCCAGGGCCGCCTCGAGCTCCTCCGCCGCGTGAGAGTGGGCCCGCGCGGCGATCTGATCGACGGCCGCCGCCTGGGCGACACCTTGAGGGAGATATGGGGAGATATGGGGAGATATGGGGAGATGTGCCTGCAGGTACCGCCTGGGAGACGCCTTCACCGGCGGCCATGCTCACGACAAGGCGGATGGAGGGCGCGCGGAGGGGGGCCGACCCGGCGGTGCACAGCTCGAGAAGCAGCTCGAGGCAGGCGGGCCGCCACGCGTCGCGCTGCAGACGGACAATTCACATGTCACGGAGCTGCGTCGTCGATGGGTGTCTGGGAGGTGTGTCTGGGAGGTGTCTGGGAGGTGTCCGGGAGGTGTCTGGGAGGTGTCTGGGAGGTGTCTGGGAGGTGTCTGGGAGGTCTGGCGTCTTGGAGGTGTGTCTCCGGGGTGCCACCGCACTTGCAGCGCGAGGTCACGCAGCGTCGTGAGACCGAGCGTCAGTCGGGGGCTCGCCGCGGAGGCGACGTCGGAGCGCAGCAGCTCCAGCACGGTGCGAGGCAGCCGCGGCATCTGCAGCAGCAGCTTTGTCCAGAGGCGGTCGTTTGGCGCGAGCCGCTCGTGGAGCGAGGCGAGCAGGACGTCGGCGAGCTCGTCGTACCGCTCGAGCGAATGCTCGCGGAACTCGGCGTAGGCCCACGCCAGCAGCAGCTCGTGCCGCTCGTGCGGCAGAGAGAGCGCGTGCTCGAGGAGCGCGCCTAGAGTGCAGCCTCGAGGTCACCGGTGTCTCTCGGCTCATCTCGGGTCACACGTGTTTTTCTTTTTCTCGCGAGCAGCGTGTCTTCGAGCGCGGGCCGTGTCCCTCCGGCTGGGAAGCGAGGTGCGTCGAGTGCGGAAGCAATGGTGACGAGGGAGAGATGGCGGAGAGGCGGCGGCGGTGGTGGTGGCAGTGGTGGTGGTGGCAGAGGTGTCCGTGGTAGCGGTGGTGCTTGTGGTGGTGGTGGTGCTTGTGGTGGTGGTGGTCGAGCAGCGCGCCCTGGTAGCCGCTCAGCAGCGGCTGTGTGCTCGCCAGCCTGCCCAGGATACGGTGGTGCGCCCCCAGCTGCCCTCCCACACGCAAGCTCGGCTCGGCGCCGGTTGCGAGGAGGGCAGCGGTCAGCTGATCGAGTAGCTGCTTCAGAGCCGCGCCCGACACCTCCGCCGGCGCCACCCCACTCACCCTCGACGCCGCCGCCGCGCCGCCGCTCGCGGGCACGGGCGGGGCGGAGGAGGCGGCGGCGGCGGCGGCGGTGGCGGTGGCGGTGGCGGCGGGCAGCTGGGCCATCGTCGCGATTGCGAGCTCCGCGATGAGCTCTGGCGCGAGGCGGCGGAGTACTGCGTCGACTTGGAGCGAGCTCGTGCTCGGCGCGGACCCGCGCAGCCGTTTAGACGGGCCGACCTCGAGCGAGTCGCCCTCTCGCTTTGCGCCGCCTCCGCCGCCGGTCGCATCCACCTCCTCGGCGAGCTCGCTCCTCGAGGGCAGCTCCCGTCCCTGCCGTGCAAGCGGGCGTCCGGCGTTGAGCTTAGGCACTGTCTCGTGACACGATTGTGGGCACCGAGGGTGCACTGGAAAGTATCGACATGGGGCACGGCGCAGGAGGCGCTGCGCTAGTACACTGTGTGTAGTGTGTAGTGTGTGGAGGTGGCACAGGCGACCGAATTCAGACGGCGAGTGCGTGTCCTCTCGAGTGCGTGTCGGGGCACGCGGAACTGTCTTCCGCAGCCAGGCTCGCGAGCGAGCCCAAGAGAGGGGCGAGGCGCGGGGAGATGCGGGGAGGTACTGCGGAGATGCGGGGGAGATGCGGGGGAGAGAATTGGGAGACATCCCGCATCTAGGAGGTGACGCCTGCTGACGCAGCACCACCTGCAGCTGGTTGCTGCCGCCCATGCTCATCAGCGCGCGGAAGAGCATCCGCTCCAGCCGCGCCTTGCCGTCGCCGCCGCCGCCGCCGCCCGCGCCGCCGCCGCCGCCCGCGCCGCCGCCCAACTGCTCCGCCGGCAGCGAGTGCAGATGCTTCACGACCGAGAGGAGCGCCGACTTGAGGGACTGCTGCACGTTGGCGCGGCTCGCGGCCGGCACGCTGATCTGCGCCGCGCTTGCGCCCGGCGCAGGCATCAGCCGCGACTGGCACGCGCTTAGCGCCTCCACGACGCGCGGCAGCGTCGCAGGCCGGGCGCGTCCGATCGATTGTGCGAGGGAGCTGATCACGACGGAGAGAACGGTCGGCGAGGGCGGCGCGGTGGCGAGCGCGGTCAGCCGGCCGAGCGTCTCGTCCGCCCACGCGCTGTCGCCGCCGTCCTTGCCGCCGCCGCCGCCGCCGTTCGTGCAAGCTAGCACCAGCGCCTCGCAAAACTTGACGGCCTGCGTGCGGACCGCGTCGGTGCGCGCGGCGCTCGCCATCATCTCGGCCGCCTCGGTGCGCATGCCGTCGACGAGCGCGCGCACCTCGGCGAGCGCCTCCGGAAGAGGCTCGCCACCGGCCGCGACCAGCGCGAGCGCCGGCCGCAGCAGGCCAGCGCACGAGAGCAGGCAGCGCTTCACAACGGCCGGGCTCCCGTCGCCGAGCAGCGCGCGTAGCGCCGGGAGTAGCGTCGGCAGCACCGACGGAGCCGCCGAGCCTAGGTCCTCCGCATACGCCAGCGCAGCTCGCCGCACTGCTGCGTCCGAGTCAGCGAGCAGCCCGAGCAGGTCTGTCGCCGCGGAGGCAGCGGCGCCGGCGTCGGCGCCGCTAGAGAGTGCGGCTTGTGCCTCCTCCAGCAACGCGACACGGCGCGAGGCGTCCGCCTCCGATGTGATCGCGGCGAGAGGCCCCTCCATGATCGATGCGGGGGAAGAAAGTGCGCCCCCCTGCGCCTGCGCTCCCATCCCTCCCTTGGGTTGTCCGTTTTCTTTCTTTTCTTTTGCCCTGCGCCGGGCCTTCAGGCCCGCGGATAGTCTCACCCCATCCCCAGGGCCTCCAGGGCTCGCACCTCAACCTCTCACAGGCTGCACTATATACATATTTTTGTGCACATACAGACAGACTTGTACGATCGGGGAGGGAAAAATATGGTCTATGATCCGAGGGGGCGAGGCCGAGGCGCGGGGGGGGGGGGGGCGGGGGGGGGGAATTTGTGTCTGTGCGTGGGCCGTGGCCCATCTCTCTCTCCGGAGCGGTCGGCTCTACTTAAATCTGTGTGTTTGTGTTTACTTTTTTTCGCCGCGGCGGTGAATAGCGGGCCGGGCGCCACCCGCGCCCACACGAGGGGCGGCTCGGCCTGCAGGACGTAGCTGAGAGTGTCACGCTGCGGAGGCAGCCGCCTTCGACCCGCGCTTCTTCTTCTGCGAATGCCCGCCTCTCCGTTGGCGTTGCTCCGTCGTCCCTGCCTGCACGCGGCCGGCCGGGCGAGAGGCTTGACACGATCCGACGCTGCGACCCTGACGCTGCTGCTCTAGCTATCAGACAACTGCTGACTGCTGCCACAATGTGTGACCGGTGCTGGCCCACTTGGCGGCCTTCCCGGTCAGTGGTGAGGCGCAGTTCAGAGCTGTCGATGGCGCGATGCCGCACTGGTCCCACATTGGTGACACGAGACCACCACGTTTGCCGGTCCAAGAGAGAGGCACTGGCGCTGTCCTGAGAAAGTGCATGGTCCCTCTTGACTGCCCATGCGCGCGAGGCTGTGTAGGCATAGCCTCGAGAGTGCCAGCAGCCAGTCGCCGAGGCAGTTTGTGACGCGCATTGCGTCAGAAGCGTGCACACGATAGAAGGACACCTTCCTACTGACCGTAGGATCAGGTCGTCACTGAATGCTTGATACTAAGGCCGCGAGCTATGCAGGTGGTCAATTGTGCAGCATTGCACGGTCAGCAGCGCCGACAGGCTGTCGCAAGGCGTGATAGCATGGCCGCAAGTAGAGCTCTACAGCGAATTCCCATGAAACAAGTAAAAAAATCGCGCAAAAAAGAAAAAAGTCCGGAAAAATCGGCGCCTGCGGCGAGCCGTGGGACCCCATCTCCCCCCCGCATGGATACCCTCCAGGGCCCCCGCCTCCCCCCAGAGCACACGAGAGTGCTGGCCGACGTCTACATATGACCGCTCCTACTTGACAGGGGTGCTAGCCGGGGGTCGCGCACTCCTCTTGTGTCAGACGGATGCAACTTGAGGTGTGCGACCCCCTGTGTCTGGTTGTCGACATCCGATCATGGCAGGCAGCGAGAGGTGGCGATCACAGTCTGCTGCGCGAGCGGCATGAAATTGCGTGGGGCCGCGGGCGGGAAGCCCACCATGCTCCTCTGCAAGCTCTCGTCGACCGAGGCGATGAAGGTGGAGCCCACGGCAGACAGCACGGCGCAGAGTTCCGCAGTTGCCGACTGCCCTCCGCCGCGGGCCTGCTCGGTGCTGCAGACAGCGTACGACTGGCGCAGCGCGAGGGCGGTGGAAGGCAGGATCCCGTGCTCAGTGGCTGTGAACACGATTTCGCGTGGGGGCAGCCAGACCTGCCGACTGCCCGGCGGCGGGACCTGCTCGAGCAGCGACTTCCACGCGGCTCGCGCCCTGTAAAGTCGCTCCGTACGAAAGACAGAGTTCGGCGGCGCCGCGTTAGAGGAAGCGGGCGACATCGCGGCGAGCTCGCGAGTGGCGGGCGGGCGAGACTTGGTACAGTTCGCGCACCAGCCCGAACGCGCGCAGTAGCTTGCGCACTGGCTCTTGTCGATGCCTCCACGGACGTGGGCGGGCTGCTTGACGTGGGTGGACCGCGCCCGCTTGCGCCCGCTCATCTGCCCTGGAGACAGCTGGAGCGCGAGTCCTGAGGTCGACGACGCCGAAAGAAGCTCGCGGGCGCGCGATGGAAGTACTGGACTGCTCCGTCGAGGCGTGAGGAGGGCTGCCGGCGAGACGCTGGCGACAGCAGCTCGCGGAGGCGAGAGGTTGACCAACGGACGCGGAGGCGGTGGCGAGACCATCTGGAGAAGGATGCTCGCCGCCTCGTTGTGGAGAGCCTCGCCGTGGGACGCCATCAAAGTCAGGCAGGCGAGCAAAGTCAGGCCTCAGGCGAGCCGTGAGCAAAGTCAGGCCTCAGGCGAGCCGCCCTCAGGTTGTCAGTGACTCCAGTAAGGGCGTTTAGGGCGTCTCGTACGTGTACTCCCTTAACTCCAGCTGGTTTTTTCGCCCTGTTTCTTTTTCTGCTGTTGCTGCTGCTGTTACGTTCGGTCCCCGCGGGAAGCCCCGCGCATAGGACAACAACGTCTGTCCCACACACGCATAGACGCGCACATACATCATGCTCGGGCACCCCCCACACAAAATCTCTCTCTCCCCCCCCACAGTGTAGTGTTGTGAGCTCACAAGTACTAAATTGATAACTCTCAGCACTCACCGGCTAACAACATAGCTACAACTCACCACTCAGGTGGAAGTTACGTGTTACGAAAGCCAACAACAAACTCTCTCTCTCCGTACTCCGACAGCCTCTTCCTTTTCTGTCAGTGTACAATGAGGTTGGCATGGTACCAACGCTACCCTGGGCCACTCGGTCACTCTCGTCGACGTTCAGACTTGCCCCATATGCTGCTGCCGGGCCTGGCCCTCAACGCGCAAGAATCATCCCGTGAGGGTGGGTGGGTGCGTGATGCGCGTCGAGCCGACGGCTTCTGTGGGTGGGTGGCGAGGTGAAACATGGAGGTGCTCATTATCTTACTTGGCCTCAGGCGAGCCGCCCTCAGGCCTTGCTTGCAGGGACTAGGCTCTAGGGACCTCAGCCGGCTTTCGCGCTTTCTATTTCTGCCAGTCTTCCCGTGCCCAGTGTCGTGCGAGGGAGTTTTGTTGTAAAATTACGTAAGAGCTACATACACTGAGAGAGATTTTCTCCCAGTAAGCTATAAGTACGTACACTGAAAATTCTATTTCACTCATCGCAAAAGTCTCTTCTCGTTTTTGGAGAACTGCCGCACGTGTTTGTTCGGAACGAAATGTATGTGCCTCGGCCTCAGCACGCGTGCGGCCGCGCGCCTCAAGAGCGTGCGCCGCCGCGGCGCTGCCCCACCCCCTCGAACGACTTTCACGCGTGCAATTCGGGCGCTCGCGACTGGCTTGCGACCCCGGACTGCGATGGCGGCGGCCTGCCTCAGTGCTCCTTTTGCTCATCGTCAAACGCCACTGCATACTTGAGATGGATTACAGACGTCCTGGCTCAGAAGTACGCCCAGCGGTGTCACTCGTTTGTCGGCTACTCGGCGTCCCTCTCAACCGGCTGGTGCGTGCGCGCGCGCTATCTGCTGCCAGTCAACATCCCCGAGGGGTGCACCCTCTCATCACTACCGACCGCGTTTGCTTCCTCAGGCTTCCGACAAATCGTCCCCCCGTCATTGAGGCCGGCTGCTTTTTTCGTTTCGTGCTCGCGCCGCCGCCGCCGTCTCCCGCCCCTCTGCTCACCGAAAACGAGGCGCAAGTGCAGGTTGCGCTCGATGCAGCGCAGCTTCCCTTTGCTGGCCCGGCCATGCGTCGCAATGTAAAGATCTTCAAGATGTTGGGCGACCGCTTCTTCCCGTGGGCGCGAGTGCTGCTCTGGGCGGACGGCAAGCTGCAGCCAGGGCGCGTGCGCCCGTTCGACTTTCACCTGACGGCGAGGAATGCGACAGGCGGCGCATGCGCAACGTTTTTGCGGCTGCCGCCACATCGATACGCGTTTGGAAAGCGCGCCTCCCGGCTGCCACCGAGCAGCCTCACCCTCGCGCTGCATGCCGACACTGTGATCAAGTCCGCACGGTCGCGGAAGTCCGTGTCCGACTCGCTCTCCACGGTCCATACTCAGCTGGCGGAGTATCGCGCCGCGGTCCCGGAGATCGATGCGTTCTCAACGGCGGCACTCATCGACAGCGCCTACTTTGTGCGCGACGGTTCATCTACCAGCTGCCGGCACCTCAACGCTGCGCTGGGCTGTGCCTGGCTGAGCGAGATTGCATGCTACTCTGACCGAGACCAACTGTCGTTTCCGATGGCATGCGAGCGCCAGCGCGGAGGAGTATGCACAACACAATCAGAGCACGATTCATGCTGTACTACATAGGTGCTTCACCGGCTGGGCCTGCGGGCGGCTGCTCTACCGCCTCCGCAGTCGCAGACCGCGTTTCGCTGGCTGCAGGCATGGGTCGTTGATTCCGTGTCTGCGAATCTATGCCAAACCACTCAGCGCTGCCTCCTCTCATGGCCTAGGCCACGAGTCTGCCATGCGCGTGCGGAGCCGCGCGCGGAGCACGCGTCGCCATCGCGCCGTCAGCGCAGTACCACTGGTACTACACGCACGCGCTGTCCGCACCCGGAGGGCCAGGATCGCGAGTGCAGCCCCGTGCTCGCCGACATGCCACGCTGACAACTCTCGCGGCGTCGTAATACGTAAAGGCGAGGGCGACCAGAGGACGACCATAAAAAAGACGCCTTCCACCTTTTTTTCTCCCGTTTATCGTATTTTCGCTCTCCTCTCTCCAGCGTCCAGGTCCAGCCCTCTCTGGGTGTTACTCTCGCTGTATACACAACTCACAAGTAAAGTTACGCGTTCTACCTCTCGTCATTATGGAGAGCCGAGACCCGTACATGCACATGCACATGCACATGTGCATGTGCATGTGCATGTGCATGCATGTGCATGTAAGAACATGAAACTCGCTGCGCGTGCAGCATCTCTCAGCCCTCCCTCGCCTTTTGCGTCTCCGACTGCACAAAATCCGCGACAGTCTTGCTCGCCGTCTCGCGCTCCCGTGCCGCCTTGGACGCTACCTCCCGGATGCCGCCCACCGCGTCTGCGAGGTCTAGAGGCATGCCCGCCGCCGACAGGATGCGCCTGATCTCGGCGTCGCTGGGGAGCCGAGGCGCGTTCGGCGTCACGTGCGTGCCCTCGAGCTTCCTGAAGTCGAGCCGCCCGCCGATGCCCGTCACCTCGTCGGTGAAACGCGACTGAAGAAGGCGCGCGAGGCCGCTGCTCTGGTCGATGCCGTCGTCAGCAAAGCGGACGAGCAGATTCCGGCCGACACCGTACCTGCGGCGTACCGCCTCGTCCGTCTCCGCGGGACCGGGCGTGAACTCGTCGTCGAGCGGGAGGCCGCCAGTGGAGGCGGGAGCGGCAGCCTCCGCCGCCCGCTGACTCGTGGCGCCGAGGAGCTCGCTCGCCCAGCCGAGACCGCTCGCGAGCTGGTCGAGCCCACCCGCCAGGTCGGACGCCACCCCGCCGCCGCTCACGCCACCAACGCCCAGCGCCCCGAGCCCGCTGCTCAGCCTCTCGCCAAAGTCGCCCTGCCGGACGGCGCTCGCCGCCCCGCGCAAGCCGCTGCTCGCCCCGGCGCCGAGCGCCTCGCCGAGGCCCGCGTTCCCCGCGAGCACCGCCGCGGCGTTTTGCGCGCCGAAGCGTGCGAGAGCGCCGACCGGCCCACTGTCCTTCCCGAGACCGACAGCCTGCTCGAGCAGCGGCACGCTCTGCCGAGCCGGAAAGTTGTTGAAGCTCAGGAGCACATTGGCGCGGCGCGGGCCGATCGCCTCGGCGAGCCGCGCGTCCGAGCCGAGCAGGAGGAGGATCTTGGCGCCGAGGCTGTGGCCACATCCGAAGACCGGCAGCTGCGCGAGCGGCGGCTGCTCGCGAGCGGCGAGCATGGCGTCGAGGTCTGCAGCAGGGTGCGGAGCGGGCGGGTGCGGAGGAGGCGGCAGGTGCGGAGGGGGCGGGTGTGGGGGAGGCGGCAGGTGCGGAGGGACCAGATGCAGCGGAGGGTAGAAGGATGGGGCTGGGGGTTGCGCGCCTGTCGTCGCTGCACTCCAGCGCAGCATGACCTCGGAAGCGGCCTGCCAGTGATCGAGGCCCGTCTCGAGGCCGGTGCATGGCGTCCCCACGATGCACACGCCCGCGGCGTCCGACACGCCCTCTAGGAATGGACCGTAGGCCTGCTGCGGCGCGCTGCCGACAAGCGCGCCGCCGACAAAGTGGATCACGCCATTGCAAGGAGCGCCGGGAGGCGCAGGCAGCACGTCGCAGCCCGCGAGCCTCAGCCAGCGCGAGGAGGAGTCTGGACCTCTCTCTTCCTCGTCAACGTGCTCCTCCTCAACCGCCGCGCGCGCATCCCACCATTCATTCGAGTCGTAGGTTGCTGCCGAGCAGCAAAGGTGACCCCGCAGCCTCCGAGGCTGTGGCGACGGTGAGAGTAGAAGGCAGGGACCCGGGGCGCGATGCCGGGAGAGGACTGCAAACCCAAGCATCTGGCCGCCGTTCAAGAGCTGTCGTCTTTACCGCGTACCTACCTACCGAACCCACTGAGCGGGACGCCGGGACCGCCAGAAGCTGATTTTCGAAAAAGAAAAAACACAGCGAAAACTGGGAAAGAAAGCGGAGAGTCGCAATTCCAGGGGTCCTTGTGGCGGGCCACCCTGCGCAGAGAGGCATGGATGCCAATCTGGGGTCTCTCGACCGAGTCTATGAAGCCCTGGCCGCCTCCCGGTGGTGGCAGAGGTTATGGAACCAAGCGACGGAGATGGTGCGGGGGTACGAGTGGTGCAGAGATTGGGTGTTTCGTTGGGGGGGGGGGGGGGGCGAGGCTGTCCGCATGTCAATCGTTGCCCACCGGCGGGCTTGAAGACACTGAGCCGAGCGCGGACCGCCGCCGGCGCGCTCGCTTCGGCGGATGGCTGCTTGGCACAGTTTCTGGCCGCCCGGCCTGCGAGCAGTCGCCGCGAGACGATCGAAGGCGCTCATTCAAGCGCGCCGCCATGTCAGATCTCGCCCCACACGCCCCGCGACCACAGACCGGGCAGAGCGACCGTGCAGGAATGATGCAGGCATGATGGGCGGGTGTGGTGTGAGCGTCGCATCACCTCAACACTCACACAGAAAATCAAAGATGCGGGCAGCTCCGCGCGTTCGGGTTTCTTCGATCAAAAGAGGGACAATCTCACGGCTCATTTACGGTTGCTCCCGGTCGGGGCGAGGGGCAGGCAGGCACGCGGTCAATCGCGCGAGGACCTCTCGCGCATCGCCTTCTCGTCCTTGAGCTCGCGCCGCAAGGAGAATATGGTGCCCTGCGCAACTTCTAGCTCGTCGCTCAGCTGCTCGATCCACTCGCGCATCTCGCCTACTGGAGTGAGGCCGGCGCGTCGCAGCGAGGACGGGCTGGGCCCGAAGAGGGGAGGGAGGGTGGGGAGGGGAGGCGCGCCTATCGACTTGCGCTGCTCGCTCGCATAGTCCTTGTGCATTCCCACCTCGGCACGCAGCTGCTGCATCCGCCCCTCGCTCACGTCCTTGCCGAGCTGCTCGTTCTCCGACTGGAGCTCGCGGCACTTTTGCACCAGCTTCTTTCCGGCAATCGATCCCGACCTGCCAGGGAGCACCGCGTGGGTAGGGAGCGCTTCCGATGGGCCGCGTCGTGAGCGCGCGCACTGGAATTGAGACGCTTCGAGCTCGTCGCGCAGCGCGGCCTCTCGCTTTTGCGACGCCTTCAACTGAGATCCAAAACAAACGGGCGAGGGTGCGCACTTTCTCACCTGGGCAGTCGAGCAAATGGGGGCTGGAGGGATGGCAGACCTCCTCGCGCAGCCGGCGAATCTCGCCCGCCATTGCCGGGTCGAGCATGAGCGTCTCCACCTGCCGGTGCTGCGGTTTCACTGCCGCGCGCTTGAGGGCCTCCTGCGCCTCGCACGCCTCGCGCTCCTTGACTGCGATCCGCAGCATAAACGAGGTTTCCCGCCGCCGCCGCTGCGCGAGCTCGTGCTGGAGCCGACGCTCCGAGGAGCGCAGCGTCTCAAGGTCAGCGGTCATGGCTCAATCACGGCTTACCTCGAAGCGCGGCACACGCACAGGCCGTCTTCTCTCTTCGTGGAGTAGGGGGGTATGAGTCTGAGAGCAGCGCCCGCGAGCGGAGAGAGACGAGAGGCAGAGACGCGCCACCGCCACGCGCCAGGCGCGAGCGAGACCGAGAGACGACATAGGACGACATACATTAGATTCTCACGCCTTATTACACGGAGGCAGTCAAAATCACAAATGGAGGTGGAGCGCGTGTGTCAGTACTCGGGCTCGTCCTCGCCGCCCGAGTCGAGGTCGTCTCCGCCGTCCTCGAAACCGTCGAACCCGTTCTCGTCGCCGAGGATGGCGTCCTCGTCCTCCTCGAGCCCGTCCTCCTCGCCGTCGCCCTCGCCGTCGCCGTCGTCGCGGTCGCGTCTCGAGCCGTCCGCCCGGCGGCCGGCCGCTCCCTCCTCCGCTCCCTCCTCCCCCTCCTCCACCTCGCTCGCAGAACCCTCCCCCTCCGCACCTGCCTGCGCGGCCGCCTCCAGCGCCTCGAGCTCGGTTGCCGCTGCCCACGACGCGCCGCGGAGCAGCCTGAGCCCCGGCCCGGCCGCGGCGCGCGCGCGCTTGGCCGACCGCGCGGCACTGCTCGGGTTGAGCTCCGCCGGATAGTGCTCCCCGACCCGCAGCGTGCAGTGCTCGGACGCGGCAAACGCGCCCGCGGTCAAGTGCGGCCTGGCGGCGCCGCGGTCCGAGTAGCGCGCGACGCCGCGCACACGCGTCGCGCGGGTTATGCGACTCGCCACGGCCGCCGGGTGCTCTCGCAGCGTCCGCCACGCCGCGAGCAGGTCGGTGTCACGCGCAGTCTCGTACCCGCGGCCGTCCCACGTCGCCGGCGGCTGGAGCGGCGCCCGGCGGCGAGAGCCCGGCTCGCGGCAGAGGACGCCGTCGGGAAAGTTGATGGGCATGCCGCCGCGTCCGCGCCCGCGGCCTCGGCCAGCCATTTCAGGGCGCGGAAATTTGCGATCAAGAAAAATAAAATAAAGAAAATTCCTGTACGAGAGCACATGAGGCGTATCCGTGTACGTGCGTGGAGTACAGTGTTGTGTGTCTGTTAGCTCCGAGTAGAGGGGGCGTTCTTGTGGTGGGGATTGGAGTGGTCTGACCAGCAAGAAGTATCCTGGTCGAGGCCCTCTGTAGTATCGCGAGGCGTCCCTCTTCCCTCTTCTGCAGAGGGATAGTCATCTGGACCCAAAGGTTGGTGCCCAGCAGGTGTGAGTGGTGAGCCGCGTACACGGCTCTGCTGTACTGGTGATCGCGGGTGAGGCTGTAAAGCCATCCTCGATCCGGGTGCCGTCTCAGACGACTGTAGGATTGGTATAAGGAACTCGTATCCGAGTGGTTTAAGGGAATGGTGTAGTGCAACACCGGGAATGCTGGGGCGCAGCCTCAGCGGGGAGCATCAAGGTGTCACATGACGACGCCTCGAAGAGAGGAGGGAACTATTACGTGCCAATATTTGGGCGCCTATTCGGCGCCCAAGGTGCCATATTAGGGATCTAGGTGGCGAGACGTGCCACTGCACAGGGTGTGGGAATATAGGGATATAGGTAGACTATTCGTCACTGTGGGGGGGGAGAGTGTGATAATAGGGGTGCTGAGGTGGGGCTGGGTGGAGGTGATTCTCCGGGTCAGTCTGGAGGTCATTCTCCACCGCCTCCTGCGACAGCTGGGTAGCCATTCCCCCGGGGAGGGGGGCTGTCAGGGGCTGTGTCAGGAGCTGTCAGGGCTGTCCTGGTAGCCTGAGCCTGGTTGTTTGATAGCTGGATGCCGCGTGCCGCAGCTTGGTAGTTTGATAGCTTGATAGACTGGTAGTCTGATGGCCTGAGCCTGGTAGCTTGGCACTCTGAGAGGGACACCCCTGTCAACCCTGTGCCTGCAGCCTGGATGCTGCCTGGTAGCTTGATGGCTTGAGCCTGGTAGCTTGGTAGCTTGATGCCGCGTGCCGCAGCTTGGGAGATTGTGCCGCGTGCCGCAGCTTGGAGGGAGTAGTCAGCAATCCGACACGACGGTGACAAGCCATCGTGAAGATGTATTTAGTCGATGCAAATCGCAAAGGCTCTTCAGCGTTGAGGGAGTAGTCAGCAATCCGACACGACGGTGACAAGCCATCCCGCAAGGCGACGAGCACTGGGAAGGGGCCAGAGACGTCCAGGGGGTCAGCCCGCTACCTCTGAGCACATCTTAGCGCTCGGGGGGGCGGGGAAGGCGGGCCGGGGCGGTTCTGGGGGGAGCAGGATGCAGTGGCGCGCAGGACGGCTATGGCATTTGACAGCAGCACGGCATCCATCCAACCGAACTTCCCTGTGACGACGCTAGCAGCGGCTGGGGTGCTGTACCAGCGAGTGAAGCTGATGTGGGTGGCCCACCCCCCGGGCCCCGAGGTGTTGGAGACGGCCCGTGTAGTGGCCGCTCGGGCGTCGATGCGGGCCCTCCGACTAGCCCCCATCACGCTCACCACTTAGCGCTCGGCGGCGATGGAGATGGTGCTGCTCCCACCGGAGCTGGGGGGGTGCGGAACGATGGACCCGGCAACCAATCTGGCCAAGGACGTGGCGGTGAACACCCTAGCAGGACTGCAACACACGGCTTCGGCGGTGAGGAGGGCGTACACCATCCGGGTGGAAGAGGCCACGCGCGAACAACCGATGGGGGGGGATGACTCGGCGACGCGGGGGGAGGAGACGGTGCGAGGCCTTGCTGGTTGGCGGGCATGCATGCAACTCTGAGACAAAACCCCACGCCCTACATCCGGTCGGTCAGTCTGTGCTGGGCGCTCAAAACCCTAGTCAAAACCGCGAACTCGGCCTGTTCAACAAGATGACGCTCGTCTAACTATACATGTACTACATCTACACTGGTACTGGTAGGTAGGTCACATGTGCATGCACATGCACATGCACATACACATGTTGTACACACACATGCACATACACGCACGTTCAGCTGCTAATCAATCACCCCTCCGGGAGGGAGATTTCTTGTTGGTTTTCAAAAACTCTCCCGGCCCGCGGCCGCTTTGTAGAGGTAAGTGCACGTACTTTTAGCGTACTGGGAGAGAGTACGTACTGGGAGAAAAGAGAGAAGGGGTTGTGTGGGAAACTTTCATATCTAGATAGTCGAGCGCGTCCGTCGGAGAGGTGTTTTACCGATAGTCGGGTTGCTTCCTTGAGTGGTCGGTGCTCTTATATTGAGGGGTTTCGCCGTACGCGGGGAGGCCGGATCCCCATAAGACCCTTCGAGGCCGGTCGCGTCCGGTATTATTGTGAAGCGAGGTGTTTCGGCCGGGGTTCGGGTCCTCGGCGAAACGACATCGTGCGTAGACGCACGCGAGCGCAAACCCGTGGCACTATGTCCACGATCTACTTCGCAGGGCAGTTCGATAGCACTACGCTGCGACAAGGGCGCAACAACAACTGGGAAGTGCCAGCAGATGGCCGTGCGAAACATGCGTGTGCCAAGCCCAAGGGCGTGAGCCACCGAACCAGCTTCATCGCAGACGATCGTGGATACATCCTGCAGGGTCACCCGAAGCACCTCACGTCGTTCTCGACTGGGTTTGAGATGAACACCGCGACGGAGAGGAAGCGCTGGCCAAACAGCGCTCTGACAAAACGCGCAGGTTCAGTGACAGTCGGGCCTCCCACGCACCGCGAGCATGCCTGAAATCCGCCGTGGAAAGAACATCACGCACCATACTTGCGGCCTCGTGTTGCCACAGCCTTCTACCCCGGACTACCGGGTATGCCGTATGCCAACGCGCGTGCCGGCGGCGCAGCGCGCTGCGCAGGGCGGCAGCGCTGGGCCACTGGCGCGCTCCCCTCTTTTCCTTGTGCGGTTGAGCACTTGAGGGGGTCGATTCCGCATGGTACGGGACCCCATCGTGTGATATTTCTCCGGCCGCAGTTTAGTGAAGAAAAAATCACAGACGGTCCCCCTCGTCACCGGAGTATCCTCCTTTGTGGCCGTCCCGCCGCCTTTGCAGCTCCTCCAGCAGGCTCGATGTGTCCGGCGGGTCGTACTGAAGCTCTGCCTCTCGGCGCGAGGCACGGTAGTGATCCTCGAGGTCGGTGTACTTAAGGTCGAGCGCTTCGTTGTGGAAGGAGGTGAAGAGGCCATTGAACGAGCCCGCAGCCGCATGAACCAAATGGCGCGGGAGGTTGCTCAACCCGTCGCCGGGGCTAGTGCGCTGCTTCTGCCGCCCACGAGTCTTTATTTGCGGCGCCCTCGTCCCCCGCTGCGTGCCGTCAATGTTTGTATTCGTCGGCCCGCTTTGCGGCGTGGCCACCCCTGTCCCCCCCGGCCACAAAGGCCGCCATTCGCGGTAGATGAAGAGCAGCACAAACGGCAGGTTGACCCACATGCTCCAGGAGACAAAGTCAAGTCCCGCGTCCGCCTCGGTGCGGAAGCCAATTAGGTCGCCCCACATCGACACGTTGGGGAGCGACTTGACAAAGGCTTCCACCGCAGTCAAATCGGGTAATTTCTCAGCGTCTCGCAGCTGCGCGAAGAACACGCGCGCCATGCAGAGGTGCAGCAGCACAGCGAGTGGCATCACAAATGTGAGCACCACCTTCACACAAGACTCGTCGGTCCGCGGCGCGGGGTGGAGCCGATGCAGGAGGTTAGTCTCGTCGATCGCGATCGAGACGACGATAACGAGGAGGACGACCCAGTGGAGCAACGGTATGGCGGCGGAGCAGATGTAGCACATGACCGCGAACTTGGTCACGATCTGCAGGCGGTCGACCACGTACATATCCGCGCCGTCCCCGGCGTAGAGAGCGTCCATCTCGAGCTGGGTGAGCGCCTTGGGCGCGTAAAAGATTCGGCCGACGTTGCGGATCAAGCCCCACCCTTGGACAATGCACGTGATCATGAACAGGTCGACCATCATGCCGTTCACAAGCATGAAACCGCCCAAGATGTACCAGTCGCGGTTGAGCGAGAGGGCCGTGTCGGCCACAAACGACCCAATGGTCGAGATCGTCGCCATCACTTGGAACACGACGAGCTTGAGCACCTAGGTGGGAGCGTGTTGTGTGAGCGCTCGGAGCACCTACCTCTGCACTCTCCCGAACTGGCGGCGTAGATCGCCTGCGACACCTCCTTCTGCGTGACGGAGATGTGCCGCATCAGGGAGACTTCGACGATCGGGACCACGATGAAGACGACGAGATATCCCGAGATCAGGATGGTGGTGCCAAAAAAGTTTATGAATGTGTCTGCCGCGTGGTTGTGTTGCGCCTCCAGCACCTTGGGCTGGACGTATGCGGTGAAGCCGATGATGGCCGCCCCCGCTAGGGAAAGCAACGACATGTAGATGGTGCCGCGGATCTGGCGCGCCATCCCGTCGGTGCTGCCAAGGTTCTCCCAGATGATGTCGGAGGGCTCAGCGGCGCGTCCACAGAGGAAGGGCTCTGGCCGAATCTCGGGAAGCTTCATCAAGCCTTGTTTCACGAGCGAGATGGCGTCGGCTGCATTAGCAAAAGTGATGAAGGCGACGCCCGCGCTAGTTGGCCCTTCCGCGCCGTAGGTGGCCGCGAGCTTCGCCGCCTTGTCCAGCTTCTCCTCCCGCAAGGCGCTCACCTTGGCCAGGGCTTTGCGCAGCTGCTCAAGCCGAGTCGCAGCACGCGGCGAGAGTCGGCCGTTCCGCTGGAGCGCAGCTTGTAAGCCGTGGATGTCGGTGCTGTACGCCTCGCGCCTCTCTGAGATGAGCCGGATCTCGCGGTGCACCAAGATGAGCTCTCGCTGGTGCAACGGCACCGTGATGGCGACGTGAGGCCCGCGGAGCTCAAGCGAAGCCTCGAGCGCACGCTTGATTGGTGCGGCGGTGAGGTGGCGCGGGAGGCCGCTCACCTGCACGGTGAAGTCCGCCGGCGTCACGTGCTTGTGCTCGACCCGGCGCGCGTCGCGCCGAAGCGCCGCGGCCATGAAGAAGAGGTACGCCGTCATGATGCACGAGATGAGGAACTCGGTGGCACCGTAGGCCGGCGCGACCTGGTCGGCGTTACCGAGCGAGGTGCCGGTAAAGAGCCAGGACTGAAGGCTGGTCTGCTTGTCCGCGAGCTCATCGCCGTACGCGTTGGACACCATCGACGAGACGGATAAGAGCGCGAGGAGCGCAAAATAGGCACGCAGCCGGTGCAGCAGAGATATATACGTGTATGCGCCCGTCCCGAGCGCCTCAAAGTCGGCCAGCTTGGCCGCGCGGCGGCTGCGTGCGAACGTCTCGCCAGTCGCAGGATCCAACACCAGTCGATTCTCCGCTCTCTGCTTTGCAAGAGCCAAGGAGGGCGGAGCGGGCTCGTGCAACATACCTCTGGACGAGGGAGCGCCGATCTCTTCACGGTACCTCGCACGTACCACCGACCACCACCGGCGGCCGGCTGGGCTGGGCGGGTCCATCACCGACATCGCGCGCCTCGGTGCCTGTCCAGGGGGTCTGTTCTCCCTTAGCTGCAGGGTCGCCTCCCGCTTTTGGTCGGCCGTCCGGGCCCAGAAAAGAAGAAAATTGCGGCGGGCTTTAAAAGGTCGGCAGCTGTGAGCCGCGAAATTCGCAGGCAGATTTTGTATGCCGAGGCGGGCCCCCCGGTGCCGAACCTGTCAGACAATTGTACTCTAGCGACGACAGAATGGTGACGCACAGACACACCTGGACTGCTACCCCAAAAACACCACGGCGGCCGCCGTAGCGGCCACCACCACCACCCCGCCGACCGCCAGTTCCGTGTTGTGGTTATTGGGCTCCGGCGGTCGGCAGCACATGGCATAGCAGATGCTGCCATCGTCACGCGCGTACCCGCTGCTGCCGGGCGTCTCGGACCAAGCGCACGCGTACTCCTCCACCCAGCCGCACTCGCAACAACAGTACTGGAAGCACGGGCTGCCGTCGTCCCACGCGTACCCCAAGTTGCCGGGCGTGGGCGATTTGGGGCACGCGTAGTCGGCCGTCCACGGACACGCGCCACACTGGTCCGACGGGATCCGCTCGTCGTCCAGCCGCTCCGTCTCGGTCGTGCCCTCGTGCGTCTTGCAGAGTCCGCTGCGAAACGTCGGCGAGCCGGGCGCGCAAGCGACGGTGTCGATGTGCGTGCCGCTCCAAAGGCCACCTGCGACCTGCACCACCACGTCCTGCACCGCATCCACGGCCGGCTCAGTGTGTGTCGCCTGCACGAAAGCATCTGCCGCGTCGGCGAGGGCGCCGCTCGCCGCCGCCGCCGCCGCCTCTGAGTTCGCGCTGAGGGAGCTGAGGCCGGAGATCGGCCAAAAGATCTCGGCGAGCGCAGCGTTGATGCTGGCGACGAGTCCCTCGGGCCGTGGGCCGAATGCGGGATCCCACGTCTCGGGGTCAGGCCCGAAGCCTACGTGCTGAATACCCCAACATCGGGGCGGGAGTGCGGTCTTGTGCAGAGTATCCAGAGCATCATGTGAACGCAATGGGGTACGATGCTATGAAGACGGCGGAATGCGGTCGAGTGCAGCGGAATGCGCGGGTCCTCTCGAGCGCTAGTTGGACGACAAGACTACGTCTTCCGCTTCTACGGCCCGATGCAGAGCTCGCGCGCGAGAGAGGCCGAATTGACCGGCGAGGACGAGTTTTCCACCCGGTCGATGGCGCCCGTCACGACCAGCGTCTGAATGCCGAACGCCCCGAAGCAGTTCTTGATCGCGCCTCGTTTCCCGGCCGACAAGAAGAAGTCGTTCAGCTCAATCCGGTCAAAGAGCAGCAGCCCGATGGCCTCGGCTTCGATGTCGCCGCTCCCCTGCCCGAGGACGAGCTTCGTCGCGAGCGTGTCCTCTAGCGTGTACCGCAGGCGCACCTTGGCGCGGACTCCATAAAGCCGGATGATGAGCGACATGCGGTCCGAGTCAAAGAGTGTCTTGACGGGGCTCCCTGCCCCGAGGAGGGACTGCATCTGCTCGCCGAAGAGCTTGGAGAGAAGCGAGAGAGCTCGGGAGCTGTTCGCCGGCACGTCGACCGCAGGCACCGCCCGGAGATCCTCTGCCGCCACCTTGTCCGCCGCCGCTAGCTGCTGAAGTGCCCACTCCCGCAGTGTGAGGGACACCGCCCTACCCCCCAGCGCGCCAAGCCCGCGGCCGTCGACAGCGACGCACGTGTGGACTGGGAAGTCCGGCATCGATGCGGGGCAAGGGAGCGGGTCGTTGCTGCCCTGCTTGCAGCAGGCGCTGCCGTTGCCACAAAAGCTGGGGCACGCGCCCGCACGATGCCCACACGGATACCAGCAGTCTGCGGGCGGCGGCAGCGGCGGCGGCGGCGGCGGCTGCGCCGGGGGCGGGGGGGTCGCCCTCTCCCTCTGGTACTCTTTCTCGGAGCAGGCCGCGGATCGCGTCTTTTCCACCGCTATCGACTCGGTCACTTGCTGCGAGAGAATCGCGGACACCCCGGGGCCCAGCCAAAGACGCGACCGGCCCTGTGACGGCGCAGAAGGCAGCTGCAGCGACCCGATGTACCGGTTGATGGCCTCCTCGATCAGAGCGGACCACTGGCGGGTGAGAGGCCGGCAGCCGGGAGGCAGATCCACGCGCTCGGTGTCCGGCTGCACGTCGGGCATCGCGGTGTATGTTCCAACCGGCGAGTCATCTGTCGTGAAGAGGTCGAGCGACAAGTCGGGCGTGACGAGGTCGAGCGAAGAGTCGGGAAACGCATCAAGGCTGTGCTCGGCCGGGAGGAGGTTGCGGAGGGCCGCCAGCACGAGCAGCAGAAGCAGCGGAAAGGCGAGCCGCGGGTGGGCACGCGTGTACTTCTGAGACGGTTGCAGGGTGGTCTGCATGTCGCGCGGTGGCGAGGAGAGCTCCGCTAGCAGCTCCGCCTCCGCCTCGGTGAGCGGCGAGCCACCGTCCGCCGGCAAGTGTCGTCCCTTCGCCGCCGTCGAGCTGCTGGGTCCGGGGGGGTACCCCTCCCGCATCCCGTTCGCCCAGCTGGAGCGCATCACCGCATCGCCGCCGTCTTCATCAGACCATCGACGAGGGCTGTCGGCAACACACAAGCCTCTCTCACAGCAGGCTGGCACGACAAGGGCGCGGAAAGAAAGAAAACAGACAGCCACAGAGTGATTGATTGTTGTTGAGAGTGATGGGAGGACGGCACGCCGCCACCACACAGGGATTTTAAGTGCCCAGTGTCGTGCGAGTCAGATCAAAATTCTTCTTTTGATCGGCTTCCCGTCCCGACCTACTGTGTTTTTGTTTTTGCTTCGGTAGTCGCAAAAAAAACTAGCAACAAGTACATGTAACATGGGGGCTAGTCGCCGACCACACCCACAAAGAACCCTGCACAAAGATCGCAAGGGCGGGGACCTGTTCCTTTTTACCCATCTCACACTAGACTCTAGAGAGACCGTTTTATTTATTGGATTTTGGATTTGGGCGCAATTGAAGAACTGGTGCGCCACGCGCGCTCTGCGTTGGCCATCCGCTTCCTGAATCGAGCACTTAGGAGTGTAGCCACTTCGGAGTGTAGTTGGCGCCGCGAAGATGGAGTGTAGCCACGCATACATCAGGGCATGCTATTGCGAAGGCGGGCGCCCGATATTTAGCCGTCCGATATTCGCCGTCGCCGATCGCCGGTTTGTCGTTCCTTGGATTGATTTCCTGGATACATCGCGTTTTGGCTGTGTCGATAAGGTACTGACTGGAGATGAAGTGCATACACCCCTCTCGCGCATGCAAGACATGACCGTCCGGCGTTCGCCTCGAACATGTCGCTCCGCTGGCAAGTCGCCGCCTTCCGCACGCGCCGTCCGCTGGTCGGGTGATGGTGCGCCCGCTTGGTTTTCTTTACGTCATATCTGGGCAACCAGACAACAAACACAATTACGTCTTCGGATCCTATCTGGGTAAGAGGATACGGGTCACTTAAAAGAAAGAAAGAAAACACACAACCCAAGGGAGGGATGGGAGAACTTGTACTCGAGTAGGCGCGTGATTTTTCTTCAGCCCCAGCCGGCCTGAAGGCGGGGTGCTACGTCGCGTACACCCGCGTACACCCGCCTGCGCATGGCCACCACCTTCTCGCAGCTGCAGCGCTACGGCCGCATCTACTCGGGCGGGAAGGTCGCCGTCTCTGCCGACGGTGCGCTGC